AAAAAAAAAAAAAAAAAAAAAAAAAATAGAAAAAATAGGAAAAAAAAATCCATCACTCGACCCACATATTTTCTTCAGAGACCATGAACACCTATAGAACATTTTTTTTTGTTTTTATTTTTATTTTTGTATAAAAGCAAGCTAATAGATTTGATTTTGTTCGATAATTAAACTCGTTTGGCAAGTATGGAAAAATGTTTTTATAAATAATTTTTCTTATTGTTATTATCGATCTAACTTATGTAAATATATATATATATATATATATATGTAATGTATACATATGTAATCAACCAGTTTGTATTAAACAGAAAACCCATGCATCCTTCTGCTTTTATTATATGGAATGTATTATGGTTGTATTATCGTTATCGTTATCGTTTTATGCGTCTAACTTTATCAAAATGTCGTATATATATATATATATATGTTATTCTTTCAAGAATAAAATTATAATACACTTTATTTAACATTTAATGAAACAAAACAAAAAAATAATAAATAAATGTTTACAGTCGTTGAAATAATATTCCACGAATTAATATTAAATGTTAAATATTTAATTTAAAAATTGTTTTAATTTATTAAATGTTACTTTTAAATTTGAATTTTTTTTTTTTGTTTTTTTTTTAAATATCAATAATCAATATAATAACAAATGTTACGACAAAAATAAACTGTAATAAGATATATATATATATATATATATATATATATATATATATATATAGGAACAAATGTCAAGTATATATATATATTATTTATATAAATTAATTATCAATTAAAATATCATTTATGTTATCAAATCAATCAGAAAATTCAATTTATATTACACATGAACATTTTGTTCAATCAAATCAATAATTATTACGTGTATGCGTAAAAATATATATATATATATATATATTTTTTAACTCACCCTATATTTATAAGGTGAAAGAGTAAAGTGAAAGGTATTAACAGTTATTTTCCCCCTCCTGCACCCCATAGTTCATTTGTATCTATGTATTTGTGTATTTTTCTTAGGTTTAAAAAAAAAAAAAAAAACTTAAGGAGCAAAGTGCAAATTTTCTCATACTACGCGACTAACATATAACTGAATTATTAATTTCTAATTTCTTTTCTATTATTTTGCCCGTTTCTAAAATACAAAAGAAAAATAATTGATGTTTTAATAATATTATACAACGAAGAAAAAAGGAATTTATATAATTTGATTAGAATCATTTATTTTGTATACGATTCAAAGAATATTTGCATTTTCCTGTTTCACACATTGCTTAGTTTAAACTAAACAACCTTGAATTTGAATTTATACAAAAATACATGCGTAACGCGATTTATCTGTTTCTTTTTTTTTTTCTTTTTTTATTTTTCCTTGTGTTTTATATTTTTATTTTATTTTTATTTTTAAATTAATTAATTGATATATATATATAAACATATAAATTAATTAGAAAATTGTAAACCAAATGTTACTCAATAATTAAATCCTCCAAAATCATTTTTATGGGAGTTCTATTATTTTTATTTTGTGTGTTTAATTTTCTATTATTTTTATTTTGTATTTTTAATGTTCTATTATTTGTATTTTGTATTTTTAATTTTTTATTAATTGTATTTTGTATTTTTAATTTTCTATTATTTTTATTGTGCATTTTTAATTTTCTATTGCTTTTATTTTGTGTGTTTAATTTTCTATTATTTGTATTTTGTATTTTTAATGTTCTATTATTTGTATTTTGTATTTTTAATTTTCTATTATTTGTATTTTGTGTATTTTATTTTCAATTATTTGTATTTTGTATTTTTAATTTTCTGTTATTTGTATTTTGTATTTTTAATTTTCTATTATTTGTATTTTGTATTTTTAACTTTCTATTATTTGTATTTTGTATTTTAAATTTTCAATTATTTTTATTTTGTATTTTAAATTTTCAATTATTTGTATTTTGTATTTTTAATTTCTTATTATTTTTATTTTTCATTTTCTATTATTTTTGTTATGTTATTTCCTATTATTTTCTTTATTTTATTTTTAAATCAACATTCAGATCAAAATCATCGAGATGAAAAAAACTAACACATAAAACAATTTAACAAAGTCTCTCTGTGTCAAAATTCTTTCATTCAATTCAATTCAATTCAATTTTCAATTTCATATTAGATATAGATTATTTTCTTTTCTTGATATTTCTTTATTTCATGTTCTTTTAAGATCTATCATGTTACAGGAGCATGAGGTAATACGATTCCGGAAATCATCGTTACCAGGGGAAACTTTGCTGGACAACAACGACGACGACGACGACGACGACAAGAAGGAAGAGAAAATACGAGTAAAACGAGAAGTAGAATTTGTGGAGCATGTTGTTTCCGGTTATTTGGGTTCTTACATCCATATACCAAAAATCATACGTTACGATGGCAAAGACGTGAACAAACTTCTTCAAATTATTCACCCATTTCGTCCAGGTAAACTTTAATATACATGAAACCGGACATTAATGAATAAAACATAGTTTTTTGTTTCGTTTCGTTTCTTTATTCGGATTATATATAACACACTTTCTTTTCTTTTTTTTTTCTTTTTTTTTAATTATTTCCTTCTTCTACTTATTCTTATTCAAATTTACCATATGGTATTGCAAAGGATAATATGGGGGTTTTTTTTTTTTACTCTAATTTAATCGTTGATGTTAAATGAAAATAGAAATTAAATAGTTTAATATTAAAGAAATAAATAAAAGAGTCAAAAAATTATTGGTAAACAAATGTATATATGATAAGTTGAAAAGTTTTTAAGCCTATCATGAAAAACAACTAAACTAGTTTTATTTTCAACATGGTATGGAAAATCATAAAAGTTTGAAAAAGTTAAATTTTAGTTTTGAATTGTGTGTTATCGTTAAATCTATTATAAAAAAAAAAAAAAATATTTTTGCAAATTTAATTTAATCTAATATTAATTTTATATTCTAATATTAAATCTAATATTATAGAATATTATTCTAATTATAAATTAGAATTATTTTTATTATATAATATATATATATATATATATATATATATATAAATTATAATTAATTTATAATTAGATTAATAATATATTCTAATATTACAGAGTGTTATTCTAATTTTAAATTAGAATTATTTTAATTATATAATATATATAAATTATAATTAATTTACAATAAGATTAATATATTCTAATATTAATCTAATATTAAAATAATATTAATTTTATTTTCCATTTGAATAAAATAAAGAAACAACAGAAACAATGATTAAAAAAAAAAAAAAAAATATACAATTATTATATAATATAATATACAAATAAATGATAATTAAAATCACTTGAATTTTGATCAACTGTTAAATTCTATTATCAAATATAAATGTAAATTTTTGTTTGTTTTATTATCTTCATTTGTATTCTCTCTTTTTTTTTTTTCTTATTATTATTATTATTATTATTATTATTTTTCTTTTTCTCTTTATTTAATTTTGCTTTCAATTTATACGTATACCACATACATTCGTGTCATCCGATAAAATTGTAATATCTATCGTTTTAAAACGAACAATTTCAAACACACGGAAATAGATTTGTTATCAAAAAAGAAAGATAAAAAGGACAGATATATGTAATACACAAATGATAAAAAGAGAGAAAAAAAAAAAAAAAAAGAGAGAATTTAATTAAAAGGTGAACCTGTTAAAAGTCAAATTATTATTCGTATTGAACAGTAATTCGTTATCTTCCTTTCTCTCTCTCTCTCTCTCTTTCTTTGTTTCTTTTTTTTTTTTACCTTTAATCAAAAGTTTCATTATTAAAATCGAATGTAATAAATGAATTAAATTAAATACATATATATATATATATATATTTTTTTTTTATAATAATAAGTGATTTGGAAATTTCATATAAATCGGATTTTGTAAAAATGATTCGAGATTTAAATTAACAATAGAGAAAAAAATAAAGAAAAATAAAAAGAAAGAAAGAGAAAGAGAGACTCCAATTAATTTCAACATTTCCGATCTAAACTCTCCACCATAAGAGACAGAGACAGAGAGACAGAGACAGAGAGAGAGAGAGAGAGAGAGAGAACGAGTACCATAATATCTTTGATAAACTTTCTCGATTTCATAGCTACTTTCTCTTTGTGTGGAAATTTGTATTTCTTGTGTCCACCTTTTCTTTTTCTTCTTCTTCATCTTCATCTTCATCTTCCTTTTCTTCCTTTTATTTCTTCACCTCTCTCTCTCTCTCTCTCTCGTTCTCTTTCTCTCTTCTTCTTATTTTTTATATATTTTTTTTTCCTCGTTTAGTCACGATCTGCAGACAGCTGTCAAGAAGATATAAAACTTCGATCCTTTACTTCAAATCAACAACCATCATCTTCTCTTAATCTTTCTCTCTTTCTCTCTCTTTTTAATTTATGTTTGAATCGTTAATGGGAAAGCAGGCAGATGGTAGGTTGTTCTTGTTGTTTGTTGGTTTTATTAAACGGTAAATAATATTATACAACTTATGAAATTAATGTTTCTTATCATTTTTCTACTTTACTTTTCTTTTTTCTTTTTCTCTCTCACAATTTAAATTATTTTCAACTATTGTATTTATTTTAAGCTACTTTATTTAATTAATTAATTAAATATCCATTGCAAATTCTACTTTACACTTTCATTTACTTTACTTTCAAATAATAATAATAATATATAATAATCTTATCATTTTATTAATAAGTGTGAAACTTATTATTAATATTTAATTCAAAAAGATTATTGTTTCTTTGTTCAATTTGTTTTACGGTATAAATAAATGTACATAAATTATCTACATTACATTTTGATTGATTTTGATTGAGTTTTCTTCATTTGATTTTAATTTAATAATAATAATAAATAAATATAATCTTATTATTATCCATGAAAAACTTATTATTAACATTTAATTCTAGAAGACTATTATTCCTTTGATTAATTTGTTTCATGATATAAATAACTGCATATAAATTCTGTACATTAAAGTTTGATTGATTTTTCTTCATTTGATTTTACTTTAAAATAATAATTAATAAATATAATCTTATTATTATCCATGAAAAACTTATTATTAATATTTAATTCAAAAAGATTGTTGTTTCTTTGTTCAATTTGTTTTATAGTATAAATAAATGTATCTAAATTCTGTATATTACAGTTTTAATGACTTTTCTTCATTTGATTTTAATGTAAAATAATAATAAATAAATATAATCTTATTATTATCCATGAAAAACTTATTATTAACATTAAATTCTAGAATAACTGTTATTCCTTTGATTAATTTGTTTCATGATATAAATAACTGCATATAAATTCTGTACATTAANTAAAAAAAAAAAGTATATAAAATTTGGAATCGAAAACTATTTATAAAATATAAAAAATAATAATAATTAATAATAATAAAAAAAAAAAAAAAAATAACAGAAAAACAAATTGTAATTCTTCTTATCTTATCTTCGTCTATTAACGTAAGTAAAAGTACTAATGTGTTTTCTAAAATGGATCATAGTTCATTTTTCGATGATGACGAATGAAATGAAAATCTTGAGAAGTAAAAATATAAAACAACAACAAAATAAAATGAAAAAATAAAGACAGAAAAATATCTAAAGAAGAAGAAGAAGAAGAAGAAGAAGAAAAAGAATAGAAAAATCTACATTTATCTCGTACAGTATGAAACATGAGAGAATAAGTGTAAGAGAGATAGAGATAGAGATAGATAGTGTGTGTTATATAGTGACAAGGTTAAAGGAGAGAGAAAGAGAGAAAATTAATCGTTGGCCGTTGACCTCGCGAGGGAGGAGAGTTCGGGGGAGGAGGAGGAGGGGGGGGAGGTAGAACTCATAGAAAGATGGTGGAGAGGTACTGATTGCAATAGTGTTAGTGTGTGTTGGTACATTGGTGTTGAATTTTATGATGGTATTGGCGTATAGTTGATGTTTGCATTGGTATTGGTATTGGTATTGGTATATGGGTATAGTGATGACGGTGTGAGATAGTAGTGGTAGATAGGAAGATGTGTAGGGTTATGGGAAAGGGTGGGAAGAGGAAAAATCGTGGGGGGAGGGTGAGGGGGAACGAGGCCACTTGGAGTGGTGGGAATCATACCACTGATCAATGCACCGTGCGCGTTGAAATCGCGCAAACTGTCGCCATGTTTTAACTGCACTCTAATTTTATTTTCTTTTTTTCTTTTTTTTTTTTTTTGTATTATATATATATGTATGTATTTATTATGTCTATATTGATATTTTAAATTGGTGATGATCGCATTGCATATTCGATTTACTATGATTTATTGATCGTTAATATATGTATAACATTTTACGTATTGTATTATAATAAATTTGGAATGTAAATTTGTTTTATTTTATGTTAGATGGATAGTTATTGTAAGTTGATATACATATATATGTCTATTGGTTAATTTGAGAACATTTTCTCCTATATAAGGTATTGTTTGAGGACATTTGGCTATTTTGGGGACAGTCCTCGTAATTAATACCACGTTTTGTATAGAAACTATGGAAACGTTCCACATAGCCCCAGGGTTATACTATAACTTAGTTATTGTTCTACAATAACAGTCAATCGATCTAACGATCTATTGATCTATCCATCGATCTATCGATCTGTCGATCTATCTATCTATCGAACTATCAGTCYATCAAACTATCGAAAGATGAAATCCTATAAAAATAATTAAAAAAAAAAAAAAAAATTGAAAAACTGTAAGAACGTTTAAAAAATTTCAAATAATATAAATTGATTATAAATTTTCTTTGCAATTTGGAAAATTTGTTGGCTTTAGAAAAATTTCTTTAAAGTATCGTAAAATATAGAATAAAATAAAATAGAATAGAATAAAATAAAATAAAATAAAATAAAATAGATTGAACGAATAGATAGATCGTTCGTCGGATATTGTTTGAAGAAGAACTCATTTCGTGTCAAATAAAAAATTTAATCTAATCGTCCTCTTTTCCTTGTATTTTTTTTTTTCCTTTTTTCTTTTTTCTTTTTTCCAACTAGCGCGTGCTTTTGTGACTTCGATCGAAACGAAATAAACTGAACGATGTATATAACTTTTCTGCAACGAGTAGTGCATTATTATTTAGTTTTTCCTTATTTTATTGCAAAGAAATGTTTCTATCATCCATCTCAAAAGAAATAACAAATGATTTACAATTAAATAGGATAAACAATTATAATGTATTATTAATTAACAAATATTTAAAAACCAAAAGAAACAAAACAAAATCTATCAATAATTAATTATATTTATTATTATTATTATAAATTAAGTATATTATTAAATATATTTTTTATTATATTATATATAATAAATAATATAATAAAAGAAATATATAATATAATATTTGTTGTTATTATTATGTAAATTTTTCTTTTTTGGTATA